TTTTTTTTAATTTTTTTTTTTTTTTTTTTTTTTTTTTTTTTTATTTTTTTTTTTTTTTTTTTTTGGTTTTTTTGATAATTTTTTTTTTTTGTTTTTGGGATTTATACAGTTGTTAAATACACTGCTATCTAGTGCACTTAATGTTCTATTTTAAAAAGTCTAAGATTTATTATAGTATGACAACATAATAATCTTTACATCCAAATTATATATAGTTTCAATAAAATATAATAGTTTTATGCATGTGAAAATTTAAATTTTCATTCTATTAAAAAATCTTTATTTAATGAAATTAAAATATATAAGCAAATATAAAACAGATCAATTAATGTAATACATTTATTTTTATAAATATATAATGTGAAGTTCAGTAGTAGCTTATCTATATTATTATTATATTTACATTATAATCAAACATGAACTACACCTAACAAATAAAAATAAAAATAAAAATATATACTAATTCAAATTGCTGTATTTTTTATAGGATCCTATACCTATAAAGAGTAAAAAAAATAAATAAATAAAAAGTAAACAACCAAATGAAATAAGAATTTAAAAGAAAATTAACGTAGAAAATTCCCATTTTATTTATATTGTTTCTCATATTTAACTATAAATATATAAGAAAATTAAAATTTTTTTTCTTTTTTACATATTTTTTATTTAACGTTAGTAATAACCTATTAAGACATATTAAGTTTTTTCAATTATATAAAAAGATAGGAAAAAATTAGCTTATTAAATGTAAGATAAGAGTATTCATTTTTATATTTAAAAATTAAAAATAAAATTTATAATAAATATTTAAGAAGTTTCATTCATATTTAATAATTTAGGAACATAATATATATGGTTCTGTTTGGAATTTTGCCTTTATGGCCTTAAATATTTTATTAAATAATATGAAAAAAAAAAAAAATTTATTCAAATATTTTACATAATTAGAAAATAATAATAGTAATATATGAAATATTTTGATAAATTTGTAAAAAAGTTTTTCCCTTTCAAATTTATTAAAAAAAATTGTATAAAATGAAAAATATATTTTGTATTTTTTTATATATAAATTCCCTTTTTATTTTTTACAATTTTGTTAATATTATTTGTAATATAGTGTAATTAAAGATATTTATATAATTGACATGTTATGAGAAGAATTATCGGCTATAGTTTTACCACACAAGTGACATTTTCCTAACTTATAAGAACTAAAAAAAAAGAAGTGAAGATATAAATATATTTATTATTTTTAATGTATTATTAATGAAAAATAATATTATAAAAGAATTAAATTGAAATTAAAAAAAAAAGAAACATATATATATTATAAAATTTTCATTATTCCTACCATATTGAACAATATTTCCCATCATAATGTAGTTGACTATTGCATTTTTTGCATTTGCTACTGTTTGGGTTAAATCTTTGAAAAAAAAGAAAAAAATAATGTCGTTTTAGTTTTTTATATTAAAATCATAACATAAAAAATATATTTTTTAACTTTTTTAAAAAAATACTTTTGTTTATTATTGTGGTATTCCAGCAATTTATTTACTCCAATAGATCTATTTGAGCCTAAAAGTTGAAAAATTTTTTAAATTTTTGACGAAAAACTATTATTATATTTTTAAATTTAAATAAAAATATTTTACTTTAAAAAAATTATTTTTAATAGTTTAAGAAAATATAAATTAATACATTTTTTAAAAATGTATAACAGTTAAAAAGTTAATTCAAAGAAATGTAGAAAATATATCTATAATAAATAGTGAAATTATTTATTTATTACTGTTATTTATATCAGGGGTAGGTAATTTTTTTAATTTTTTTTCACACTTTTCACAAGGCATTTTTACTTCTTTATTATATTATGAATTTTTTTTTATAATCATTTTATAAAATTTTTTTATTATTACAAATTTAACGATAGTCAAATTTTTTTTTTTTTTAATTTTAATAGTTGAAAATCATTTTTTTTTTTTTTTTTTTTTTGTATATATATATATATATATATGATTAAAATAAATTTTAACAAATTATGAAAAATACATTAATGTTTTATACAAGTTAAATATATAAATACATAGAAAATTTATGAAAATTGTTAAATATTTATTTTTATTGTATTATTCTTCAAATTCTATAATTTTTACTAAAAAATAAAAAGGAAAAATGTAAATAATTCAATAAAAAATTATATACTGAAAATTAAACAAATAAATTTATATTCTAGAAAAAAAATTTTTTAATCGGAAAGATAGATTAATCGAACAAAGGATTATATTGTACCTAAGAAAAAAATATATAGAGGAATATATTGTTAAAATAATTATATAATTGTAGGATACAGAATGTTACAAATCAAAAAAAAAAAATAAAGTATGCAAATGATGAAAGTATAAAAAAAAATCAAACAATATAATTATCAAGTTCATATTTTGTTTAAAACATATATGAATAATATGGAAAAACAATTATATATAAGAAAATGTATAACATGAAAAAATATCATTTAAAAAAAACAAAGTTAAGTAATTACTTTTTTCTTCATAGGCTCTTTTTCAAATAAATGTTTTCCTTTTGAATCAGCTACATAAAAAAAAAAAAAAAAGATATTTTTCTAATGTGAAAATACACGTAAAAAGTATAAATATATTTAAATATACACTTAAATATGAAATAATATATATTTTTTAATAAAATAAAAAGAAACTTAAATTCTGAAGAAAAATCATTATAATTACAAAAAAAATAAATTTATATAAATATTTATTTTTTTTATATATATTTAATTACAATTGATATGTGTTTGCTGATTATATGATAAGCCATTATTTAATTTTTGATTTAACATGCTATTCTGCTTCATTATACTTGAATTTAATGAATTTGTTGAAGTATTTTGATTTTGATTTACAAGATTACGCTTGCTGATTAAAAAAGAAATACATAATAATAAATATGTAAAAATAAAAAAATAAAAAAAAATTGATATTTTTTTTTTAAAAAAGGAATTATATATTAATGTACAATTATTTTAACCTTAAAGACGAAGTATCATTTATATTATGCATAATATTTTGAGAAGTATTCATATTTTGTTTAAAGTGTTGATTATGCATATTAAGTGAATATTGAGCATTATTACTTTTTAAACTTTTTTGAAAATCTATTAAGTCTTGTTCATAATTAGCGTCAAATAAATCCAAATTAATAGAAGTAATATTGGGATCTTTTAATAGAACTTGGTTAGCTTTTTTTAATATTTCTAATTGTTTATTTAAAACTTCTCTTTCCTTTACTACATTAGGTGGTTCATTTAATAATTCATATAATTTCTGCTCACTATTTAAATCTGAGTATAATTCAAATTGCATTTTTTCTTGTAATTTTCTTATTAAAAAGTAACCAATAATCTTAGGTACGCTATCTCTAACATTTCTTAAAACAATATTAAAATAACAATCTAATCTACGTCTAATCTCCTGAATAAATTGTGAATTATATCTTGTTTTTTTTTTTTCTTTTGAATTCCAAATATTCATAACTGATTTCTGTGCACTATTAACAAATTTAGCAGCTTTTCCAGTAATGTATTCTTGATCATTTATAATATTTGGGAAATATTTGTTTTGTACATTATCAGCATTAGAATTAGGTATGTTAGATTGCTGTTTTTGTTTTTGTTGTTTTTGTTGATTATAATCTTGATTTACATTTTCATTTTGATCTTCATCAGTAGCGTTAATAATACTACCATGTTCTATCAAATAAGAAACATCATTAGTAAATAAATAATTTGTTTCTGCTTCAATAAAATTCTCTAAAATATTTTGTGTATTTTCTTTTTCTCTAAGTAAAATGTTTTGGGATAATTCTAATACTTGTTCAGATAACTTAGGAAATCTATTCAAAACACGATTAGCTATTTTTTGAGATAAAATTTCTAGTGTTTGACTAACTTTATCTAAGCAATCTAATACAGGTGCATTAATTTTTTTTAAGTGTGGCAAAATTAAAAATTCGAAAGTATCAGGAGAAGGAAATCCAGGTAAACTATCTCCTTCATGCAAACAAATAGCATCATCAATATCGTTATCAGTTAATTCACTAGTGACATTTTTTCCAACATATTCATCTAAAAATTCATTAAAAATACTTCTAACCTTAAGTCCACATATAATATCATTATTTTCAATAAAAACTTGTAATCTTTTATCATATTTTCCTTTTAAGGTATTCTTAAAAATTTCACAATAATCACTAATCATAGACCACAATATTTGTGTTTTTTTGGTTGCATCAATAGGTACATTGTTTCCTAATTCGTATAATTTATCATTTATTAATCTCATTTTATCATTGATTTCTACTTTTATATCAGGTAAGAAGTTTTTTATATGTCTTAATAATACCTTAGTTAATTTATCAGTGAGTGAATTGGTTCCATATAAGGAAGGAGGTAATTTTTTATATACAGGATGATTTTGAAAGAATTCTAATTCATCTTTTAAAGATTCAGTTATGCTTTTTCCCTTTTTTATATCTTCTGTTGATCTATTTATTACACCTGTATATCCTAATCTTAGATTTATTTCATCATTCAACAACATTTTACTGGCATCAACTCCTTTATCCATTAAATCTATCTTTGTAATAACACCAATTGTTCTCAATCCTTTTGGATCTACTTTTCTTGCAATTTGAAGAGCATCACTAGTTGACATATCAGCATTAGCTGGTAAAACAGCCAAAATAATTGTTCTCGGATCTTTAACATACCTAAATGCCATTTCTCTTGTTAATCTTTCAATATCATCAGTTTGATCGGAATTTTTCAATGGTACTCTAGTAATACCAGGTAAATCAATTAAAGATAAATCAGGACATTTTACAGAATAAATATTTAGTACTATTGGTTCGTCAATTATACCTTTGTTTTTTCCTGCTAATTCATCAGTTAACCTATTTATTTGATCTCTTACTTCATTAAAATCAACATATCTTTTATTTTTATCATTTTCAAACACTGCCCAATGTTTAATTTCACTATTTTCACTAATATGAATTAATCGAAACTCAATGGGTCTTCTTGTTACAATACCTTCTCCTCTTGGTAAGAAATCTAAACCAACAATGGATTCTAAAACGCTACTTTTTCCACTACTTTGCGTTCCAACGACACAAATTCGTGGTAAATTTATATATTTTTGTAATCCTATGTCTCTTAGTTCATCAATTATGTTAATTAATTTACGTAAATTATTATACATAGAAGACTCCATTTAAAAAAAAAAAAAAAAAAAAAAAAAAAATAATAATTTATATAAAAAAAAAAAA